AATTCCAATTATGTATATTTATATCCGACCATATTATATCATTTTTCTCGGATATTTAATGCTACATGTGGATCGTATAGAATTGAGAATTTATTAATAAACTTCGTTAAGCTACTATTTAGCTACTATTTATTTATATTTATTGTAATTAAATGTGCCATGAAATATTCTTTGAAGAACTACTTACTTCATCTTCGTCGAGAGCTCAGTCTAAACGGAACAGAAACAACATTGAGCCTTTGAAAGACCTCATGTATTTTTTTCGCGTAAGGCATTGGCCTCAGATACTTTCCCTCCTTTTCTATTATTATTCTATGCAAATTATAACGCAAACAGATTTATATTAATAAATATGACCGAAAAAGAATTACCAATTTGAAATTAGATGCATAAAACATGATGAGTCGATGTCGATGGCTTGTTAGTGTTGTGTGTGTAAGTGGATGGGTGGATGGGTGAATATATTAGAGCTGTGATGTTGTTGTATTGCATCCTTTGCCTGTACTCCACCGTGGAACCCAAAGTATCGACCGGTTAAAGCCCTTGTCACTTGTTGCCTGAACCGGCCAACCAACCTTGTCGACGTTCAATCCTTTTATCAATAATGAGTTTCTTATATTTTTCATTTTTGTTACCATTTTTTTATTTTTCTTATTTACTCCTAGACGGAAAAAAAACGTTCAACGAAACGAACGCTCGAAAGGATACTTAAGTAATGTCAAATATCGATATGTATTTTGTTCTCACTAGTGTTACATATGCATATATTTTTTTGTGGATCGAGAGATATTCTCCCCATCGATATTAATGCGCTATTATATACTTAAACAGTAATGAAATAAATATAAAATATGTTAATGAAGAATCTTGGAAAAATCAAACAGTGATTGGAAAAATGTTATGAATATTTATGTTAATAGTAATCGAAAAATTATAAAAAAGGCTGCGTGTGATTATTGATTTTATTATTAAAAAGTTATTGCATTGTTCTATTTATCTAAACATCATAATTGTCCCACTTCAAACTCATATAATTTGTATAATCCAGATATGGTCGAAAAAAAAGTTTGAACGACGAAAAAGATTCCAAATCACTGGCGATCGAATAAAATGCATTTCCGTTTGTCATCAAATCCTACTTTTATCGGATTGACGGAATATCGTCATCTCGATGGTTGTCAATCAGCTCAGAAATTCATTGCATCGGATGTCAAAGATAGCCTATAAAATGTTCCGAGCAATCGGAATATCATCGAGCAAAAAACGACTCTATCAATGTGCGTCTAGAGATGTTTAAATTTAATAAAATATTATCTTGCAGTTATATAAGATTAAATTTACAATTATCATTCTCGGAATGCTTAAAGTAAAAGGATTTAAAAAAACCTTGTATTCTAATCTCGAAAAATTTAAATTATGCATTGGTAAGATTTATACAAAAACTATTTTTCTATAAAAGAATTGTTTACTTTTTTAAAATAGTATGTAATTTCAATAAATAGTTTTATTTCTTAAATATGGATCTAGAAAAAAAAACAGAGAACATCTAAAGCTGATTTTTCACTTTTATAAATTATAAATTTTTGCTTCTATAAGTTCTCATAAATTTTATTATGAAATTAGAGTGAAACGAATTGCGGCGAGTTTCTTTGAAATTGCATTTCTAGATGCATCTCTCTCACATTAGAGAAAACGGTATAAATGCTGTAAACTTCATTTTTTTGCCATGACTTTATTTTTTCTGCCACCGCAGGCGACGAGAACGATAAGAATACTGAATACTATGGAACTCTATACAAAAGTATCGCAAGCAGTCGCCATTTTCTATTATTGCACCCGCTGCATATATTGGTCGACACAAAATAATGCGGCTTGAAAATAACATAAAAATTAAAGAAGAGTTAAACATTCGTCATTTTGGATGAAAATATTTTTTCGTAAAGGCGATTTTTAACGAACACGCAATACCAACAAGAAAGACGAGATAGACAACAAATGTGATAAGTTAATGGAACAAAAATCGATAATATTTATTATATATACGAGGTACACTGTAATCCACTTAACTATTATATCAAAATAAATTATCAATAAATTAATATTAATTTTTTATATAATTCTATTTCAATATTTTTATGTATAGGATGCCTAAGAAATTGCAACTTTTTGTATCGTATAATCTGTTCATATGTAGGGCACGTACATAAAATATAAAGACACTTCTCTTATATAATTGAAGTCCAAGCTATCAACTAAGCCTACTAAGAATTCGATCGGCTCAACCATTATTGAAATCCGATAATCTAAGATATTTTAAACTAGGTGATTCGTGCATATAGATACTCAGCCTGGCTATCGCTGCACGTGACTTGACGCTAGATACTGTCATGTCTCTTGATAATCGGATTTATGTATGCAATCAATTTCATATATTCGTAATTAAATATAAAAAATAATAAGCAAATAACTATTACATAGAAAATTATAGAGATAAATATATAAGTTAATAAGAATTGTTTGTACTAGAGCATTAACCAAAATATTGCAGAATATAATATTTTGCTGCAGTAAAAATGAAAATAAAAATTTATGAAAGATTTTATATATTTTTATGAATACTAATATGTTTGCTGAATTTTGTGTATAGTATATTATATAATTAATATACATGTTATTTCCTGAAAAAATATATTTAAAAAAAAATAAATTTTTTTCTTTTATCATTTTCATAGAATACAAAAACAATTGTTATATATTGATTGAAGCTATTTTACAACGGTGCCAAATGTTTTCTCGAATTTTGTCGTATAATGACGACCGATAGATAAACATATGCACGTACATCCGCATTTGCTCCTCAAGTCTTTTCGTCCTATTTTGTGTTTTATTAGCGGAGCTTTTTTATTGTTTACTTTTAATAATAACTCTTGATAATAAAAGTTGACCTATCTACAACAGCAGCAGACAGTTCTGCATTTGATGCGTATGTACAGTAGAAACGTGGCAAGAATGCAGCACAACCTGACATATCAAGTATTGATGGCAAAAACACAGTAGAAATCGAGCATAGCCTGCTGTCACGGTATAGCGGCAAAAACGCGACAAGGATAGAACATCAGCAGTTGCAACACATTGCCGATTGTTTGGGTAGATTTACCCATTTCATGATTCATCACTGAACCATCAAATGGGTAGATTTTTTTACGTCACGCCGATATAAGTGTTTAGTATAAACATGATAATAATACTGTAACTTGATATTTAAAACAAAAGATAATACTGACAGGCATTTCTGTTTAAGAGTTTGATTTATGAAAAATACATAATTATACATAACCCGCTTGTAACCAGGCGTTTGGCAATGTTAATGATAAAGGTACCGCTGAACATCTTTTGTGAAGCTATTTTTCATATGATAGCATTGAGACTTTTGTTATTTGATTAAAACTAACATTGTTCAAGCCGATTTTCTTTGCTTAATTCTTCGTTAAATTAATTTGATTACATTTTTGTTTTTTTATTAGACACACTAAACATTACACTCTGTTTGACAGATAACAAAAAATTAAACTTTTAAATCTTCGTTCTTTCAAAACAACATTTTTTTGCATAACAATTTGTTTGAAAAGGGGAGTATTTTGTCAACTTTTTTAAAGAAGATATTCTGATTTTGCGAACGTCGCTCAGCGATGGAGAGAATTTAGATCTCTCAACGAATGTCCGTTTAATAAGCAATCTGTAGTTATTGATTTGCAGCCTTGATCGACGGCGCTGCATAACGGCGTTGATGAAATTTTAACAGGCCAAGATTTCCTCGGCGCCGTGCATGCGGTTTTCCATATATAGATAACCAGAGTGTTACTTGAGAAGTGGAAGGAAGACAGAAATCGAAAAGATTTAATTCTTGAATAGCTAGAGACGGATATAAATCCTACACGATGATCATTTTAAGGAAAAGACCTTATACTTATAGTTCCAAATTACAAATGTAATCATTGCTTTGTCAACCGAGTTTTTTCTAATTAATTTTTTTGTTCTGACATTAAAATCTTCCCTATTATTACTTTTACCCCCTCTTCATTACCTCCATCCAGTCATTTTTATATTTTTTCTAATTTTTTTTTTATATCCTCCCTCACATACAATTCTACTATTCTTCACCTTTCTTTCCTATTCTTATCCTTTTAGTCACTAATTCTTCTTTTACTATTTCTATTTCTCTTACTTTTAATGCTATACCTCCTTATTTCCTCATTACCATCCCTCCTTTTGCTCTACCTTTCTTGTTCTTTCTAATCGCATATTGCATTCCCTACTTGTATCTTTTCGGCAATTTTTCCTGTATCTTTAGCCACCCTTTCCTATTCATCCATGTCTCTATGAAAATCATCACATCCCACTCTTCAATTGTCTTTCCCTTTTATTTTTCCCGAGTCAAGTTAGTTGGATTACCAGTTTCACTCACAATCAGTGAAATTTTAACGCAGTGATGCTGTTATAAACATAAAATACTTCTCAGTATAAATATAATTTATTATAATTGACAATTATTGAATTTATTTCAACAAGCTATAATGAAGATAGTTGCTCAAAATTTATTATATTTTTATAATATTTAAAACTTTAACAAAAATATTTTCAGGAACGTTTCAAAGAAGTTTCTATCATGCTTTCTCCGTAAAGAGTTTAAAAAATTAATGTTTATTATCAATACGTCTTTCCGTCGAATATACTTCGGTAAATATAGCTTAAATATTTTGTAATTGAACTAATACAGTTAATAATTGCATCCAAGCTCTTCAACTTTTTCTATTTTCAGATATTTTATAGTTTGTTGTAGCAGTTTTGATTCAAGAAAAATAAATAATGCAAAGAAATAACTTATTCGTTATATATATTTTATTTTAATATTTGAATCGTATGCTGCTGAGCATGCTTTAAAATAATAATTAACAATATTGTAACACAATAATAAATGTTCATCTTAATGATTGTTTCAGAGGTGCCTTCTCTGTGGTCCGACGATGCGTGCAAAAGAGCACCGGTCATGAGTTTGCTGCAAAAATCATAAACACTAAAAAGCTCTCGAATAGAGGTAAGTAATAATCAAGTGCCAAGAATGTCAATTGAATCTTAAATCGGATCGAATATTCGCACAGTTTCAATTTGTCATATTATTATTCAATAAAAATTGTTTCGACAATAAGTTATATCGGATTTTAACAATTCTTTTATTTTAATTTTTATATATATATATATATGTGTGTGTGTATATATATACATATCAAAAGTTATATATGATAGGAACCTCAGAATATTTAAGAAAACAAGATCAGGAAGATTTTCGAAAAATTATTGTGATATTCAGATGTATAACAAAACTCTGCAATAAATTTCAGATGTATAATAAACTCTGCAATAAATTTTGGCGAACAGAAAAAGAATATGTGCAGAATATGTCAGAATAAAGTCAAAACTTTAGAACATTTAATAACAAATTATATCGTAGATAGAATATGTGAGAATGAATAGGATAATATGAAAATGAATAAATTATTCTGGGGAAGAAGAAAAAGGAATTAACTGAATGAAGAAAATTGTAAGGGCAAAGAAAGAGAATAAGATCATAGGAATTTAGAGAAAAGTAGGTTTATAAAATAAGCTTAAAGATAATCTAGGAAAATAATTAAAAGTTAGCGCAATATAATTTAGCTATCCAATCAAAGTTACTAGATAAAGATTAATTATAGCTTAAGAGGCATTGTTTTATGTCAAATGGCGGAGGTTGAGCCCAGTTTATACCTCGTGTGTGTGCGCGCGTGCGTGTGTGCAACATCAACGAGAAAAGAGTGCATCTCATCTTCGCCTTTTGCTGAGCGACCCGTAATTCGCAATTACTCGGAATTGCATAATTTCCTGCCGCGAAGCTGGCACATTTGTTTCCGTTCCTCACTTTCTTTTTCTCTCATTCAATTTATAGCTATTTTCTGCGGGTATAATACGATGAGATAAATCTATCTTTGACTACGCTGCGCCAGACGAAATAAAGAAAATGTTGAGAATCTTTTCGAGATTTTTGAAAAAAAAAATATTAATCTTTTGATAGATAATTCTTAGCACATAGAAAAATAGAAAATACAGTGAAACCTTGAAATAGCGTATTGTATGGAACTCCGGACCTCCGAACCGTTGCAAAAGGCAAAATAGAAAAAGAATAAAAGAGGAATCTTTCCTCTATTTCATTTTACTTTTTTTCCACCTGCATTTCTCTTCCTGTCTATCTTGTTCTCTCTTTCTTTTTTACTCTCTTTCGCCCTTTCGGTTATGAACCGTTCACTTGTGTGATTCAATTCTGATTACGACCTTGCTCCAGTGACCTTTCGACCTAATGGAGGCCGCAGCCTCTGCAATATGGCGCGTACGCGCAACAAATAAATCCCGTGTCCTAGATAGAACGGGGAGAAGTGTAAATAAGTGAACCACGCAAGTCGATTATTAGGAGTAGGGAAAATTCTTCGATTTTCTTGTGATTGCTTACTTTATTATGATTTCCCGTTATTCTCGGTTCTGAAACTGCGCCAGTCGCGTGTGACATATATGTAATCTTGATCTTTGTACTTTCATTGAGAAATGGGATTTTTGCTCCTTTTTTTCATGGCGCATGTTATGGCATACGTATGCAGTTTTTCTCCATGTTTTCAAATTATTCAGGTGTAATTCTGCGTGATACAAAAGGTCGTTTTTGCATTTTTTTATTTATTTTTTATTATGCAATGCTTTATTCTCGTAGCTAACAATAGATGCTTGATTTGCCTATGCAAATTGATGCGCTAGCGATTAAATACAGAAAGAATGTCAGCTGATTAAAAATGTACAATTAATATAAAATATAATGATTAACGGATAACAAACTACGATCTCGTTTGCAATATTATTATCTATTAAAATTACTGACTTTCACAAATACCATTTGCGATAAAGTTTATATATATATTTTAAATTTTTTCAAAATATTTCATTTTTTATGAGAGAATTTGGCGTATATAAGAATTTATTTTAAAAAAATATTATTTTCCTGAACATATTTTGAATCGGAACGAACAAACATATGTCTATGAAGAAAACCGTAAATAAAATGAGATATCTTTATTACCGTGAAGAAAATAATATATTATTATTCCGATAGTTTTATCATGCATGATTAATCAAGGATGGCTTCGCGCTTTCTCCGCAACGGCACGGCCATATCGGGATCTTGCATTAACAAGCGCGACGAACGGCAATTTTTATTACTGACGCTTCCGTGACATTCGTGCTTCATCGGATGAGAAGCGTGTAACATCGGATGAACGCTTCCCAAGGATCGACTTTGCGACGGAAAAGATCAACCTTCCGACGATAAGGCGCTTATGCGAGCATTCGAAGGACGCGTCCTGGTATTTCTCTTTCCGATAGAACTTTTATGAAACGTGTTTGCCGGATAAGCGAAATTGATTACGTTATTTTTGCCGAAATGCGATCTTTTCAAGGTATTACATCATACAAATGTTGTAATAACTCAATTATTATGTATTTCTTAAGTAATCGAGTTTTTTTACGCTATTTAAAGTGAATAAGATTTACAGTAATAATTAGTAATTATAGTAATAATCAATTTTTGTATTCATAATTTTTATATCCATAATAATTATAATATTGCGCATATTCGGTAATGAATTGCTCATATTTTACAATTTTTTAATTAAATTAACATCGTGCAAAACGCAGATATAAAAAAATTTATACATTATATGCATAATTCTTATAAAGATGCATATATACACATATATTTGAGGACGTGCTGTAGAACGCTCTATAGTGAGATAAAAATAAGAAAATACTTTTTTCTAATAAACCTGTTTGCTGCGTAATCTATTGGAGATGATCCGCTTGAACAGCACGAGTACATATACGCGTGCGTGTACGCGTGCGTGTATATAAAATATATATAGTGCAACTTTTCTCTTGCATTTTTATTTTTTTTATAGGTACATATTTTTATAGATCGCGTTATAATTACGAGTATTAAGTGAATAATGATATTTGTAAAAACTGTTATCCCAGACACAATTTTATCGATTAACGGACTGCCGCTACTAAGGGAACACCAAGTCATAAATAATTTATACGCGAAAGAAAATTGATTTGTTCTCGCTTATTAAATCAGGATGATTTTTAATATTTTATCATGAATGAAAATTGACGAATGTTGTCGATCAATGCAATTGCGGACATACGCCTTCATAAAACGCGTGAAATATAACTCGCAGGATTATTCACAAGATTGCATTACGTAAGAGTTTTTGTTACTCAACTTGATTTTTACTTAAAACGCAGTGGTTCGAGATATGTACTTTAATACATTATAATAGTTTTTGAAAAAGTTCGAGAAGAGATGAGTAAGTGGAAGAAATAATTGTGAACAGAGTTTGTGTGCGTGTGTTATGTGCGCGTGTACGCGCACGCGTTTGTGCACGCAAGCTCAATTCTTATATAGAATATAATATAATATTCAATTATATAGAATATAATTGAAATTACTTTTGCCGCGAGAAGTCTGGAAGAAAAAATTGACAGAAAAATAAAGTTCCGACAATGATAACGTTTCGTAAGTGTTCCAATTAATCTGCACATAATTAAATTGCAGCTTGTGCTCTATATCACTGCTATATTCAACGTTATTCCGCTCAATCTCGAAACACTGCAATTTGACAAAATTTGTCGGCCAATTTATGTATCTCGTTGCGTTAATTAGTGCTTCACACAATTACTTGCGTCATAGGATTATTAAATTATTCTAAGTTACAATAACAGTTAAATTATTCTAAAAAAAGACATGTAAGATAGTTCTAGTTAAGATAATAGATTGTGTTTAATAAAGGATTATACGAATGAAAATTTTCTGATGTGGAAATAATTTTCTAACATAAGTAATGATTTTTTAAAATTGGTCGGCCATTTAATAAGTATATAAAGCAAATATTTACTTTTTACTTCCCTTGAAGTGATTTATGTGTATAGTATTTTTTCTTATATACATATTATAACATTGTGTTATTTAATTTATATTGTTAAAGTTAGTAACATCATGTTAATTAATTTATATTTAAAAAAGCAGTAGTTAGAAATTATATTCTTGCATAGAAAAAGATATGTAATTTAAAAGATCTATCACACGCTGAAATAATTTAAAAACAAAAATATGATCATTTTGATAACTTTACATATGCTGCTGGTCATTAAAATTGCATCTATATATATATATATATATATATATATATATATGTAAGTAAATTTAGGAAATGTGTAAACGTTATAATGAAAGAAATCTGTATACATTGCATTATTATAAAATTATAAATACATTACATCGTTATGTTGATATTTTGTTTTGTTGCATCTTTCTAAAGATGAGCATCTTAATGTTGCTGCAATCTTACAGTAACGGTGCAGCAATGTTTCGCTACAAATTTATAATATTGCAATCTTGTAATGAAATCATTTTCATACACATTTTTATTTTCAATTCCACTTACGGGATTTTATTTCCAATTCCACTTACAGTTAATTATATTCTAATTTACGAATATTTTCGAGAGCCTCCCTTCATTAAAATTTATAAACCCCCTTATTGATAAAATCATAATTTTCTCTATAATTAGTTTTCTTTTTTCACTAGCCACCTTTTTCAATAGCTTCTAACTCTGAAAAATTGTCCACTATTTCCATTGGAGACTGGAGTTTGGAAAATGCCAATTCTCCATTCCATTGGAGAATAAAATTAATTTTATAAAATGTCGTTTCTTTATTTATCAATGTTCCATTAGACTTAGCTATCAAAAGTATAAAAAGTAGATTAATAATTCATCAAAAAAATATTAAAATCTCATATGATGAATTTATAAAAGCTTTAAAATTAGTTTTATACTCAACTTTCTTTATTTTTATCCAAAAAATTGATAAACGAACTTTCGGCACTTTCATGGGTTTATCTCTCTTTTTTATTATTGTTAATATCATTCTGCAAGACTTACAATCTAAAGCAATTATAAAGCTACCTTTTTTGCCCTTTTACGTCAGATACGTCGACGACATGGCCTTAGCGGCTTTTCCTTCTGTGTGTTCTCTTTAGTCTTGAATATTTTTAATTTTATTCTGGAGGTCAATTTACGATGAAAAAATGAGTTCTAACAAATATCTATATATAAATTTATTAGATCTTAATATTATTCTACGAGACGGATATTTAAAATTTGATTGATACCGCAAATCAACTTTTTCCGATAGATATTTGAATTTTCTTTTACAATATTCGGCAAATATTGGATTAACTTACATCTCACGGATCGTTTTCATTTTTACATATATTGTAATGTTGTAGAGGGTACATTTTTAAGTAATACATGCTTTGAATTTTGTGGTGCTCTCTTCTGGTTCCGAAGATATGCGATTTTGAAGTTTCACAGTTTTAATGCTTTTTCTCAGATATTATAAAGTAATATTAGGAAAAGTGAAGTTTGTGTACATTGTATTTGTTGTAGAGCAGACGAAAAAGTGTTTGTTTACATTTCCGGGATAGTTACACGGTCATGGATATTTTGTCAATAATGTGTTTTACCTATTCCTCGCAGTTCGTTAACAGCTTTTAATATGCGATTACATGAATTTCTGAGGTTTGAGTTAGGTTATATCTTCCGGAAGTGGAGCCTCCCTCGTAGGGAGGGTGGAACCCACTATGTCCACGCATATACTTTAAACTGCAAAGCGAGGTTCACCCCGCAATTGTTATATGGATGGGAAAATGTAGGGCTCATGCTATATAAGGCTAATAATAAGTATCTTTCGATGTAATGTTTGATTCCATGTAATATTTGATTTGATTTAATCTGATTTTAATTGTTCTTAATAATTATTAATTATTTTTGTTTCAATATTTTAGCAATTTTTGTTTTTTATAAACTATATAAATAATATTTTTTGTTCTATTTTTATTTTTATTTTATTTGTGCGTTCGAATATTATAATATCAAAATATTATAAAAAATTTGTTATAAATAAGTTTATTATAAATTTTTTTATCTATACAAAATGCCATTTTCAATGTAACTTAGTTTTTTATCATTTTATCCACTACTAGAAGTTATCTCACCCACATAGAAGGAGTGAATAGGGCAGATGACAAAACTTAGACGTCTTTAAAAAAACCTAAATTCTAAAAAATTCGAATTTATTTATCAATTTTTCAATTTTTATAGATGATAACAAAACTTTAATAAATCTGAAAAAATAGAGATTATTATTTTTACATCATTATACAAATTAGAAAAAAAATCGATAAATTTTTTAAGGTCATTATCTTATTTTGCTCCTCTTTTTCCTACTCAAAATTCTATAGTTAGTGACTATAGAATAAACGCGAATCGCGACATTCGAGAAGATGTTCATATTCTTGACAAGGAACCTTTTTACTCTAAAAGACTTATTGTCAGAAATGCTTAACATAAAGAAACAAAAAGCCGGTTTTAATTTGCAAGACACGATTACATTCGTCTTACTTTACTATCCGACAAATTTAGCAAGATTTAAATTCGCTCTTTCTGTGTATGTATCGATTGATTCAGGAAGATTTTATTCAGTTGAACTATCTTTAATTTATTATCTGCAACTAACCATCTACGACTGCTCATGACTTATCCAGATTTTTAGTTTCTTGATCTAGTTTTTAATTTTCTAATCCTATCATTTACACATACACATATACACTGAAGAATGTTCAAATGCGAAGCATATATATATTACACCGTATATATATATTACAACATATATATATATGTAATTTTTTGATTAATTTTTATTAAATTAAATGCATTGATAACCGTATATAGCTTTTTATAAGCCTTTAATTTAGTAAAATTATTCTGCAATATGTCTGCAATCTTTCTATACCGTATAGGTATGTGTTTGATTGCCTTTAAATTATTAATATACCATTTTATATATTTAATCAAATGTTTCTTTATTGTGCAGATTTTCAAAAACTTGAGCGTGAGGCGCGAATATGTAGAAAACTGCAACATCCAAATATTGGTAAGTCAATTTTATTTTTGTCAACTTTTTATGCAAATTGCGATCGTTTCAATCGCAATATATTAAAGATGGTAAGAAGCTGTCTCACCCTATCGCATTTACATGCTAATTTTACGGCACATTTTGGTGAAATGAATGATTTTCACATGACACGATTATGTAGCATGTATGTAGCAGGCATTCGCTAATAGATACTGCTTCGGAAATATATCCTCTGCAAATCATCGCTTATGTTTAATGATAAATTACAAAAATCGTGTATAAAAATTAAATATACGTATGTATGTGTGTATGTATAATATATACACATACATACATACGTGTAGTAGAGTTTTAGTAATATATTAGCTACTTCTTTTGTTTGTCATGCTTTCAGAAAAGTCATTTATGTATTATAATGGGTCATCCTGTATATGTATGTATGTATGCGTGCGTGTGTGCCCAAACAGGTCACCGACCAAAGGGATCGTTCTTCCTCTCTGTTAGTAAACTATTAGCTCGACGGTCCTTTTAGGTAAAGTAACTAAATTCTTATTACGTAGAATAGGATCTTCTGTCTCGGGACGTAGGAAAGAGAACGGATTAATGAAATATTAAGAGATTTTAATTATAAAAATTTGGTTTATTCATTTAAGTTAATAAAAAGAGAAATAATACGATAAATTATACATACATTTAATTATTATTAAAATTGTTTCGCTATTATTAAAAGTAATATATTATGAATGTGAGTGTGTATATATATGTTATTGTGGGTCTTATGTGTATAAGTTGGGGGTTTATCAGTCAGAACAACACGAGGAGATTTTACGTTAGAATTCTTAATTCTGATTAGTTATTACAATCGTTAATTGAATAATTAAATAAATCAACTCAAAATGTGTTATAAAAGGTAAAAATGTAAAGAGGAATTACGGGATTTCCTCAAAAAGGACCGTGGAAGGGGAGAATTTTCTCCAGAGTTTAGATCAGAACGACGATCGGCATATTAAAGGGACTTTTTATTAAGATCCTTCTTGTGATCTACAGGGTCGGGTCCTATACAAAATATGCCCTAAGATATGGGAATTGTGGGAATCGCGCTAAAAGGCGCTTAAGGAACCGATCATTCTCGAAATCGTGTGATTCTCTTTCGAAATCGTGTGATCCTTTTTTAAAATCTTGCGATCTCTCTTCAAGGTTGTGCAATTTAAGATGTTGAAAGGAAGGATAATATTAGAAGGCGACCTCGAAGGAGAAAGAAATCGCTCAGGGGTGAAGCTTTAGGATGGGAAATCCTTAGAGGAGGGGTGTTCAAGAAAGGAAATTGGAGAATATCAGGGGGGGAGCAGAGAAAAAATTGTATTCTGTATTGATAGTGCTACTGTTATTAATGGTAACTTTAATGTTAATATTGCCATTTCCTACGTTATTAATAGTAGTGTTTATGTTAGATAAATTAAAATCAGTTTGCTTTGCAAAATCAATTGCTTTTTCACGTGACTATTCCCATTATTCTGCGTATATGCTTAGAGACCGTCCGCAATTTCTGGTGTCTTTGCTTGGGATTTTCCACTAAGAAAACAATAAATAAAACAGTAATTGAAACAGTTAGCTTGAGAAACAACTGATATTTTTGTTAGTTAGTTAATAAACTAAGGTGGCAATTTTTAACAGTTAAATAATAATATGTTACGTTCTGTAAATAATGTATCTTTTCCATTATTTTCTTTCATTCAATGCTATACTACGACACTATTAAATCTATAAATTTTAAGAAATAAATCAAGTGAAATCTAAGCTCAAAGTGAAAATTACCTAAATTGTATACATTAAAATGAATAAAGATCAAAATTATTATATAAATATCTAAAAAATATAAACTTTCTTTAAAAATTTATAAATATTATTAATATTATAAATATAAACTGTAAAATATTAATTTAATTTCTTTTAATTTAAAAATGTTTATAAATAATATAAATATAAACTTTCTTTAATTCGATTTGTTAAATAAATCTTATGCCAGTTAATAATGTCTGTACGAAATTTACATTGAATATTATTTGATTTTATTGAAGAAAAAAGAGAATCTATAATAAACACAGATATGTATAAAGTAGATACAACTAAAGAATGGATTAGTTATTATTAATAGTGAGATATGTAATTAGTCATATTGTTCTTTATAAGATACGTTTGAATATAAGAACCATTTACAATACGAGGCTATTACAAATAACTTTATGTTATCATCTTTTCTGTTACAGTGAGATTGCACGATAGTATACAAGAAGAGAATTTCCATTATCTTGTCTTTGATCTGTAAGTATACTAGAATTGTTATTATTATTATTAGATCTACTTCTTATGTATGTTTCTTATATTCTCTTTCGACGGAAAAAGAAAAGGAGACACGAAGAGAGAGACTATTACTGTGCATTTTATAGAATTCGAAAAATAATGACTCAAATCTAGAATGATCGTAATGATAACGCACAATTCGACTCCATTAACAGGCATTTAACGGCAAATAATAACAAGGCAAATTGTGGGTTCTAATTGCAGATAGCGATCTATGCGATCTTTTAATATTGTCGGGACGGAAAAGTATTGCGTCTGATTTAATTTTTATAGGAGATTAACGCACCTGCTCAGTTACAGATATTCGTAACGTTGTGATTTGTGACGTGCATAAATCTTCCCAGATAGCAAATGCATGTCAAAATGATGTGCGCTTGCTATTTTGGTTGTTTCTTTTTTTTTGCTATGTACATGGCATGACACTGTTAATTTACTAATGCCACCGATTAATTCACGGGTCATGAAGATTTTAATTACGTCCATTCGTCTTTTGTTCAATTTTTTTGTCATTGGCATCACATAACATTATCTACTCTACCCATTGAATTTCCAGTGCTCAAGCAATTAATCGCTTTTAATCCTGAATAACAATGTACTTTTTTTATCTTGTTTTTTTAATCCCATAATCTTTATTGTTTTATGTATATTATACTTCTATAAATCATATTTATTATTATAAATGATTATTTAAATGAGAGAGAGAGAGACAATTTATTCGGTTGCGCAATGTTTCTATCGTATTTTGATATAATAATTATCTTTATATCATATAGTCAGATATTATATTAGTATTTTTGTTTATATACATATATTATGTTACGAAAAATCTTGATTCTTTTTATATGAGAGGCTCGAATATAAGCGATTTTCTAAAAACAAACTTATGTGTTACTATTTTTCAAAAATTTTTATTTTATTTTTATCTCCGAAGTCAAGTTTTATCTCCTAAGTTTTGTCACTCCGCAGATTTCCATGTGATTTCGCAACACGTTTGCGAAATAAAATTGAAACGTAAAACACTTACAGAGTCACCGGCGGGGAACTATTCGAGGACATCGTCGCCCGGGAATTCTACAGCGAGGCCGACGCCTCGCACTGTATTCAACAAATCTTGGAAAGCGTTCACCACTGCCATCATAACGGAGTCGTGCACCGAGATCTAAAAGTATGTAGAGTAAAAGGGAGAATTTTTGCTGAGCGCGAACTTCGCGCTTGCAGAGCCGACGTTGAAATAAATCGAGCAAGCGTGTCCGCGTAATCTATTTTTCCACATAGCACTTTCGTCTGATGTTTTATTTATTTTTTATGATTTCTATGGGATGTCTCGCGCACGAGAAACTTATAGATTAAAAGAGGACAAGAAGAGAGGAAAGATACATTCGACGATGGCAACAAATCTATCATTTTTTATTGCAGCCCGAAAATTTACTTCTCGCGAGCAAAGCAAAAGGGGCGGCTGTGAAATTAGCGGACTTTGGTCTGGCGATTGAGGTACAGGGTGAAGCACAAGCATGGTATGGTAAGTGGGACCCAATTTTGCCAGCAAATTAATCCGTCGAGACTTCAGCTTTTATTGTCGATGGTGACACAATACTACTGCGGGCAATTCTTGTGAACAGGAATGATACGTGCGTTATGATACTTTGATACACGGTGACATTTGAACCTTAATTAGTGACACAAATATTCGGATTGTCTCTTTCCGCAAAGTTTAGTTATCGTGGCGGATAATTACGCTTTGTTGACTGGCTATTTATTTGAGATTGTAACAACTTGAAAATAATTGAACAACCCCTATATCAGCTTTTAGATTGTTAGTGTTTCGTGTTAGAGATTTGCTAGGATGCAAAATCATCGAATATTTCAAATTCTTTGCATTAATTAATTAAGTTTTTATAGCCAAGCTATTTGTATATTAAAATATCATTTTTTTATTTGAAACACGTAAAAAAAATTTATTATTTTATATACATACATATGTTACTGTAAAATTCCGAATTTTTTTTGAAGCGCAATTTAATATACTTGTGGAAACGGTGTGGCTAATAAATGTAAAATAGCCCAGAAATCCAACGTTATTGCTGGCGTAATATTCTTCCAAAGACAATCATAGACGTTTAATTAAGCAGCCGGTACTTCGATTGCACCAACGACCAACTCGACCGCGTTCTGATTGCAATCATAATGATTACGTGACAGTGCGTGCTATCAATTAATTATACGTATGATAGAATGTCATAAAAACGGTTAAAGTAGAAAATGTTTTAATAATACTGATGACTACACGATTTAGTTTTTTGAATATTAATTGAGAAATATTTATTCTCCTTTTATCCTCCCCCCCCCCCTCTTCCGCCATCATCATCGCGTTTGTGCATTTTTCGATATGTCGTCTTACAAAAATTATGGGAAAAAGATTTCGTAAATTACGAAAATAATATCTATTGACTTTTGTCATATATCAATAAATCAGATGTAAGCGACAATATAATGTTTTTTTGAATGCCGCTTTTTCGTAGACTCAGTTATAATCTTGAAATATACATATTTTGATCAAACTAAATAAATAAAAAATACAATAACCCATGTTAATGAATTTTACCTAAATTATCTCGTATTAAAATTATAACAATATCGATTTGAACAACTTTACAATATACTTAATTTTATTAATAAATCAAGTTTATTGTAAAATTCCAAATTTTTTAATTGATTATAATTTTAACTAATTATAATTATTTTCAAATATTTTAAACGCAATAAAAATTTTTGAACAGTTGTTTGTCTTTTAAAGAAGGAATTAATTTAGACAAGAAATAGTAATACCCAAAACGTGATCTCGCGCACGTAACGCCCTGATCCTTTCAATCCTTCGTACGCATTGTGTGTTTTCGAAAAGTAAATGATTGATTTGAATGATTGGTAAAAAGGTTTTGCTGGAACACCTGGTTACCTCAGTCCGGAAGTGCTAAAGAAGGAACCATATGGGAAAGCAGTTGATATATGGGCGTGCGGTGTTATCCTGTATATTCTTCTTGTTGGCTATCCGCCGTTTTGGGACGAGGATCAACATCGACTTTACGGGCAGATCAAGGCCGGATCGTACGATGTACGTATCATATAATCCTCATCTTTTTTTTTTTAATTTCTAAAACGTCTTATCTAAAAGCTTGATAAAAAGTACCATGTTAAAAGAAAAGGAAAGGATATGTTGTGTGAAAGAAGTCCAATGTCTAAATTTATTGATAAAACAATTTTCCTGTAATTGCTTGCATAATTATGTAAATTTTTTATCATGTTGTGTTTACGCTTATTTTGTGCAGTATCCGAGTCCAGAATGGGACACCGTCACGCCAGAAGCCAAGAATCTTATCAATCAGATGCTGACAGTGAATCCAGGAAAAAGGATTACTGCCAGCGAGGCATTGAAGCATCCATGGATTTGCGTAAGTCTATCTTAATCTACATAGCATAGATTTATATTATACGAATAAACAATCTAGAAAATAACATTATTCTCTCCGCTATATGTATGTGTGAGATTAGTTTTTATTTAATTTTTACACAGAAATTTTACTACAAATATCGCAGAAATATTTCCATAATATTTAGATAATGGAATATTATACAAGTTACAGTTTACAATTTTATATATATATATATATACACACACATACATATATGCAGGTAAAAATGATCCGGGACGATTGAATATTTTATAAACAATAACCTTTTTCCAACACACACATTTTTACATATTAAAAAGAATTATATATAATTTATACACAATATATGTATATAATATTTTAAATACGCAAAAATGTGTTGGAGAAATAAATTATTCAAATCGAATAAAATAAAAATAAATATTAATTGATAAATAAAATAACGAAACATAGTTATATTGTATTATAAGTAAAAACAGAAAGTTTTCTTCAATCTCAATTTTTATATATTTCTACGAATAATACTGCAAAATTTTAGAAAGCGAATTTTAAATATAAAAGTTGCTTATTTGTTTATATATTTGACTTTTGTACGAATTGATACATATATATTTTGTTGTCTTTTTTCACACATAGTTGATCTCTTCTTCGCATGAATAAAATTGCATTCTCAATGAAATTCTTTAAAGTATAAGATCTAATCTCAGGCGATTTAATCCAATTGCTTTTTTAAGGACGATGCTTAATATGTTTTCCATTTATTTTGTGTTTTAGCAACGTGAGCGTGTTGCATCTGTGGTGCACAGACAAGAGACCGTGGACTGCTTGAAGAAATTCAATGCAAGGCGCAAGTTAAAGGTGAGTTTTTTCTCTCTCTTTCTTGAAAAGTTTTATTTCATTATATATATTTTTTATGCATTTGCGTATCTTTATCTTAAATTACATTCTTTGATTATACAATTTTGCGATTCCTTGTCATGAATTTGCGGTTTGTTATTTAAATAATTAAATAACATCAATAACAATAAATAACAATTCCTTTTCTTGTTTTCGAGAGAAATATATATATTTATATATATTTAATAATTATTTTTCCGTTTAAACATTGCAAAATAAAATTCAAAATGAAAATCGTGACATCATGAATTACGAGATTTAAAATTTTTATGTTTTAAATGATATATTATTCAAGTAAATAGGTTATTTATCTTTTTTATTCCTAAAAATTTTACCGATTTATATATTATTTGTCTTAATTAGTATCGATAAAGAATACATTTAAGTCAAACATTCTTATATCAGAATAATCATTTTAATTACCAGATAAATGAAATTTGACATTTATGAGAGACTCATTTTGAAAATGTATGATTGCATTGCTTTAACGAGAATTGTCAAGAGATCAAAGTTTGTATGATCCGCGATTATCAACTGCTAATTTTAAAGCATACGGTTATATGGAAATGTATGACTGTAACTGCGCAAATTCTCATCAAAGACACGGTAGTGTCTCATGTTAAATTCACACGCAGCAACAGAGAGACACTCGGTGTATCTATACGCGAATCGACTAGTTGAGAGTACCTACCTTAAGATAATATGTACATACAATTCTTAATAAGCCTAATCGATAGCTAAAGTCTCAATGTGAAAATTTTCCTTTAAGAAACGTCACCACCGTCGTCGTGCTAGACGTACACGTATATACACGCACAAAACACATGCAATAGAAATGTAGTGATAATTTTGTATGATTCATGCTCTTGACAGAAGATTGTGCTAGCTGAGATTTGAGATTTGAAGTGCGCTCCGTTATTAATCTTGGCGTTGCTAAGCTGAATAATGGAATTGACAGTGCTAAATTTTGTAAATAAAAATTTTTATTTTGTATTGTTTTAATGTTTATTTTTTGGATAAATTTTTAAATTTCAATATTGTTATTTTTGTAAGAAATTAAAGCAACTATTTTGTACTACATTCTTTTGGTTAAAATGTTTCTATTTAAAAAAATTAATGAATTAGTGTGTTTTTATTTTTAGTGTATTCTTAGTTGGGGGGGCGCAATTTTTTTATAATATTATTTCTTTGTAGGAAATTAAAACAACTATTTTGCACAATAATTCGTTTTTAATATAACAATTCTTTCAAAACTAAAATAACACTGTTTTATACAGATTAAAATAACACTATTTTGTAATAGTTTTTTACAGTAATATACATTTTTCACAACTGGTGCGTGTGTACTGTCTTGAGAGACGCCTTTGTTGACTTTTTTTTTAAAGTATTCTAACTGATCGCAAAATCTGGTATATTATCCTCGACTGTTTACAGATGCAAAATCCATTATGCTCGCCTATCACGTACTTTCGATCTGCTTTGCGGTCTAGATATCGTTCGAGCGATTCAATCTGCGTGTTACGAACATCTATAAAATTAGAACAATACAAAGCGTGATAACCAGCGGTATTAAATTTAACTTATCGATTCTTTCTTGAAAGTCATTATTGAATAAGAGCAATCAATTCCCAAATACATATCAGTATGTATAATATTTAAAAAAAAATTTACCAAATTTTTGGTGAACATGTTGTTTAGATAGAAAAAAAATTTTAAATAAAAAAATATGTGTAGGTTTTATTTTAATAATTCTTTTAATTGTTATATATGAGAGAAAGCATACCATTCTCAATGGTTTATAAGTCAAAAAGTACGATTATGTTAATGTAAAACACTCAACAATTGTTTTAATTGAGCCTTTACTATCTATGATTTAGAAAATTTTGCGCGGAATTTCTGAAAAATTTAGAAAAAATATAATATATAATATATGATATATACGGAGCTCTTGTTAAAATTACCAACAAAAGTTGTTTTAAAACGGTCGTTATAATCCGGTTTTCTAACAGATAAACTCTTGCAGCTTTGGTCAGTGACAGCGGTTCTGTTAGGAACCGATAATGTTTCTCTATCCCATGGGCGTTGTTTTACCTACAGCCCTGTGTTCGACAAGAGTCACTGGCAATTAAACAATAGTACGCATCGAAGTAGTACGATTCCACTTGTTGTTGCAATCACAGTACACTTGCACATGCAATGTACGAGAGCGAGAGAGTACCATTTTTTATTGGTGCTACATATGTGACACATTCACTTGCCGTTATCGACACCGTCGTCGTGCTAGACGTACACGTATATACACGCACAAAACATATGCAATAGAAATGTAGTGATAATTTTGTATGATTCATGCTCTTGTGTGACAGAAGATTGTGCTAGCTGAGATTTGAGATTTGAAGTGCGCTCCGTTATTAATCTTGGCGTTGCTAAGCTGAATAATGGAATTGACAGTGCTAAATTTTGTAAATAAAAATTTTTATTTTGTATTGTTTTAATGTTTATTTTTTGGATAAATTTTTAAATTTCAATATTGTTATTTTTGTAAGAAATTAAAGCAACTATTTTGTACTACATTCTTTTGGTTAAAATGTTTCTATTTAAAAAAATTAATGAATTAGTGTGTTTTTATTTTTAGTGTATTCTTAGTTGGGGGGGCGCAATTTTTTTATAATATTATTTCTTTGTAGGAAATTAAAACAACTATTTTGCACAATAATTCGTTTTTAATATAACAATTCTTTCAAAACTAAAATAACACTGTTTTATACAGATTAAAATAACACTATTTTGTAATAGTTTTTTACAGTAATATACATTTTTCACAACTGGTGCGTGTGTACTGTCTTGAGAGACGCCTTTGTTGACTTTTTTTTTAAAGTATTCTAACTGATCGCAAAATCTGGTATATTATCCTCGACTGTTTGCAGATGCAAAATCCATTATGCTCGCCTATCACGTACTTTCGATCTGCTTTGCGGTCTAGATATCGTTCGAGCGATTCAATCTGCGTGTTACGAACATCTATAAAATTAGAACAATACAAAGCGTGATAACCAGCGGTATTAAATTTAACTTATCGATTCTTTCTTGAAAGTCATTATTGAATAAGAGCAATCAATTCCCAAATACATATCAGTATGTATAATATTTAAAAAAAAATTTACCAAATTTTTGGTGAACATGTTGTTTAGATAGAAAAAAAATTTTAAATAAAAAAATATGTGTAGGTTTTATTTTAATAATTCTTTTAATTGTTATATATGAGAGAAAGCATACCATTCTCAATGGTTTATAAGTCAAAAAGTACGATTATGTTAATGTAAAACACTCAACAATTGTTTTAATTGAGCCTTTACTATCTATGATTTAGAAAATTTTGCGCGGAATTTCTGAAAAATTTAGAAAAAATATAATATATAATATATGATATATACGGAGCTCTTGTTAAAATTACCAACAAAAGTTGTTTTAAAACGGTCGTTATAATCCGGTTTTCTAACAGATAAACTCTTGCAGCTTTGGTCAGTGACAGCGGTTCTGTTAGGAACCGATAATGTTTCTCTATCCCATGGGCGTTGTTTTACCTACAGCCCTGTGTTCGACAAGAGTCACTGGCAATTAAACAATAGTACGCATCGAAGTAGTACGATTCCACTTGTTGTTGCAATCACAGTACACTTGCACATGCAATGTACGAGAGCGAGAGAGTACCATTTTTTATTGGTGCTACATATGTGACACATTCACTTGCCGTTATCGAAATGCGTCGAGAGTTTGAGACATGTGCGAGGATAAATCCTATCCCTCTCAAAGAGTTTAAATTTAATTGACTATAAAAGAGCGTAAAATTTTCCATTTGTTTCTGTTTGTTTAGAATTTAGATGGTGCTTTGATTTTGTTTTTATATCGGGAGGATGTAATTTAATAATGCAATCTGTATTATTTTCAATATTATTGGTTGAATTTTTTATTACAATAATTACACAGGCCGACAAAAAAAATTTTTGTCAAGTAACTCTAATCAGAGTAGGTGTTATTTATAGATTTTTGATGAGAAATCAGTGATTTTTCATTTTAAAATTTAAAATAATTATAAAATCTGACGTGATGGAGTAATTTGAACAGCGGCATTGTTTTTTGTGGCCAGAAATCTATAAGAAACATCTACTCTGATCAGAGTTACTTGACCAAATTCTTTTTTTTGTCGGCTTGTGTTAATAATCCGTGTTTTCTTAATTTTTAATTTCACAAACGTGAACTCTATTATCTTTCTGAAAAATGCTATCTTAAATATTTGCTAAGAAATTATCAATATATATTAATTCTTTCAATTTTTATAAATTTTCGGAGTTAATTCTTTACAAAAACTTACGCAGCATGGATCATCTTGGCCTTGACATATATTAGAGCGGGTTCATTCTTCAGTAATTTCCGCTTGGAATCAGCCAGCACAATTTCTTATTGTTTTTGAAATATTTTATATTAAAGTCCAATAATTTTTAAACTATGCTGAGAATATATAAGAAAGTAAACAGAAAATATACCTAATTTCAACATACGTTATCAAGATGATGATTCTGAGTAATCTTGAAAAGATTTTAGCTATTGCTAATTATTTATTTAAAAAAAAATAATTTATTAACAAAAATTTATTTATTAACTAATAAAATCAATGATGTAATTAAGTGTTAAATAGATAATTTGAGCTTTATCAAAAATTATCGTAATAATATTCGGCGAAAGCGTATATGCGAAATCAATCAGATACGGGATCGCTTATATCAACGCGACGCAATTATAATTGGGCGTTTGAATAATTAACATTTATTTGGCTACCGCGATATCATATTTTTGTACGAGACCGGCAAATTAAATATTGTATTTTTGTGCGAGGCCTGTTCAAAAATTGTATACTAATTATAATGCGACCCTTTGATAAAATGAATTAAATGAGTGAACAGAGAGGCAGCAAGCTCCGAGAAATTATCTGCAAATCCTGAAATTAATTTGACTTGTTTCTATTAAAGCTTAATTTATTTATGAACATATTGAATACAGAATAATGAACATGTTGATAAAATATAATTTAATAATAAATGTACCTATTTTTTTTTATTGATTAACGAAAAATTGTTTTATTACTATCAATTAGTGACAAAGTTACACAATAATAATAATAATGCTTTAAGAATTTTTTTAGATAATAAAAATATCTTATTTATTTAATTTTGATGCAGAAACAATAACAGTAATTTATTTTTATCAATATTATAATGCAGTTTTTGTAATACTTTAATAATCATAATAATTTTATAGTAAATTCGAAAAGCTAACGTGCATTACGTGCATGTTTAATAATAATTTTATTCCATTTCAATGTTATGCAATAACAACATGTACGGAAAATTCATGAATTATGTATTTGCAATAGCAATTGAAACATTCTATATTTAGTATCATAACTCACGTTGCGCTTAAATTGAAAAAATTAATATTAGAATATTTTATCTTTTTTTTTTCTGTTATAAAATACCAACCATTATTAAGGAATTGATGAATTCTGATACACACTTTTTCTTTTGCGGGCCTTGTTATCACATCCTGTGTTAACTTAATGAAATTAGCGTTGGAGGTCGTGACTGCGTTATATGCCCATTCCAAGAAATATTAATATCTACGCGAAAAACGATGGAGGATTTTACTATATATTAGAGAGTTCTTGTAGGATGACCACTTGCAATTCATCAAGAGTCCGGATCATACACATCTCCTCTAAGAGTTTCATGCAATTGTTTGCCCAGCATTCATAGTCCAGCTATCAACTGGCGACAAAGAAATCGTCATCTCTTTTAAGTTACATCATAACTATTCTTAGCGTGGATTTCTTCGTGGCAGTTGGTGCTGCATCTATAAGGCGACGGATCAAATAAAGCTGAATCGTCATTCGTTTTGAAGTCGTATATTATCTTATAAGTGGCATAAGATGTGTAGTCTGAATAGCTCAGTGGTAAGAATAATTGCCCGGAAAGCGAAAGAGTTTGATTCTCGATATAACCACTCACATGTCACATATTTTTCTAGTTGATAAATATTGTCTTCTAGCGATTATTTGTTGGATTGGAAAATATGAAAATGCCTTACAGATACGTCAGTATCTGTATCACGGATGACTGTTACGGTGTGTCTGGGCTTTTGCGTGTGCCTTCCTCTCTCCACCCTTGTTTATTACCGTTTATTACTTCTATAGCGGCAGAAGGTGCGCAATAAAAACGTAATTGGCCAAATATGTAAAAATGGCAGCGACGTCGAAGCTGAATACTGATTAAAGCTTGGCTCATAAAAGTGCAAATGCCGAGTAGAAGTGAGAAAGTTTAGCGACATCCTTCGTTCACTCGCATGCAAAGTAATTAAAGGTAATTAAATTCCAATCAGCATCAGATAACGGCTAACAATTAATGCAATATTTTTCACGTTGATTTTGACGAAGGAAAAAGGTAAAAGGAAATAATAATGAGTATTGATAATGACAATCTTCGACGATGATGTTCTTACGAAAATTGCTTATATTGTTTTATGGTTAATGCTGTTGTTATAAACTTTGGTAAGATAACATAGAATTATTTAGATCAATGAAATTGAGAGACACCTCGTACTAATTGAAAACTGCAACATCCGATTTGAATAAGTCGGATGACTTTCAATAAGCATTACCAAGAACTCTCAAAAAAGCAACAAATACAAATATAAATTAATACAATATAAATCGAACAACAAAAAAAGAGCAAGATGCAAGATATATAAATGATTTTATAAAAACATAGTCAATGTTTTTACATTATTAGTATTATAGAAAAAACAGAACATCTATTATAATAACACTTTGATAAGATGAAAGTTAGCTGTTTTATCTTTTGTCACATTGATTATTAATATACCATATATATTTGCCATTTATTAAAAACTTATTTAAATTATGAGGAAAAGTTAATTAACTAATATTCGTTAAAATACGAGTAATTTTCCACGCATATTGTAGCTGCTCATTTGTATGGCATCTCTAGCACGATTAATTCGAACGTTTCTGATTCAGGAGAGAAAAATAGCAATCCAGTAACGTAAAAAGGTCAAACGATTGTGAAATGTATGAAATCCGTAATTAATAATCAATCCGTGGCAATTTTAAATCATACATGGAAAAGCGAATTTTTTTTCCTAAATCGTGCGAACAGAGACTATCGTAAAATAAATCATTAATCAAAACAAAATTAGGACATATTTTTCGCGAGTTGTAATTATTGCTTGCTCAAGAATTATTTCCTATAATTAATTAAATTAAAGGCTGTCGTATTGTAACGTGATATTTTGGATTCTTCAAACTTTCACCATAACTATGTACACGCTTAATTTGAATTGACTCGTTTCGAGAGTTGAAAATTCTGAGAATATAATTGTAATTAATTGTGATTAATTTTCAATAGAATAACATTTTTCTAGAGCGTCACACATTATATATCATACGTTAAAATAACTTTTTTTTACAACTTTCATCTTTAATTTGTCAAGATTGACATAATAGAGAAATTGTAAGATCAAAGTCATATAAAACATTTATAAAATTATAAGGAATGGTTATATATATTTTTCTGAAATTTTTGGATTGTGGAATCAATCTATTTATATGTAATCATATATACAAAATATAATACGTTGAATAGGCATGTACAATATATAATCAATGCCGAATTTAACAAATTCTAAATGTTCTATACAGTAGCAATATAAAAAAATCATTAAAAATAACACATATATTGTATATTATATTAACTTCAGATTATCAGATTTAAGTGATTGAGAAACAATGTCATATTAGGAGAAATTCAGTGACAAAAAAGTTTCTCTTATTTTATATTTCTTATTTTACTTATATTATTAATATATATCATATATTTCTGAAATATTTGATATTTGTTGGCAAGAGAAAACAAGTTTGTTTCGTTATCACGGACTTATTATGTTCATGTTTGTTGGAGCGGCTGATAATAATCATCTTTCTTTTTCACTTGCAGGGCGCTATATTGACGACTATGCTGGCAACGCGAAATTTTTCCAGTAAGTATGATGCACAGGGTAAGTACCTCCGGCCCTCTTCAGCGCTCTATACGGTCTACGACAGATAGTACTTTTATATCTCCTATGAAACTTGACGTTTCCCCGTGTATCTATATACGAATTCATCCCTTTACATCCGAGTCATGCAACTTCCCTCTATCCTCGATTCGTCTTGCATTCTCGCCATGTAGAGGATATATTTATCTGCCTTTTCGCTTTTTTTTTCCAAAAAAAAAAGTTACTTCATCGTGCAATCGTGTGTGCAATATTTTCATAGTTAAATTTGTCATTTTATCATAAAATATTTATTCATAGAAACGATTGCAGAATGGAGCACTTGTATATATTTTTGCTCATGCACAGAAGTATATTAGAGTCCTTTTGTTGACATTCTCTTATATTAGGTAATCGAAGGAGCGAGGTTGAACAGGAAATCGGAAAATTATATCATAACGCGTCAATGATCGATTCTCCGAAAATCATCGTCGATGCAAGTTCACAGTTAATTAGGCGCTTATCAAGCAAACAATCGCGTTTCATCTTCGCTCGTTCGGCACATTGATTATCGTGATACGATGTGTTTCCATCTACTTCGTGTAGCTCCCATCTACCCCATATAGCCAATGCATATGGCACGCACTTCATATCCTGCAAAAACCACGGTATGTTACCCAGAAAACAAGATCTTAGTCGTTTATATTAAATAAACATAATTTTTGCTATAAAGACAAATGATGAATTTTAAATCCTTTCGTTATGCTGAATCTTTTTAAAGTTATTGAACAAAATAAAAATTATAATATTATAATTATGACATATCTCAAAGATTTTTTATGTCTATGTAAAGTAGTGCAAAATAACAATATTACAAAATAAGAAAATAAATGTTTTATGAAGTTGTTTCTCGCTTCTAAATCTATATACTTGTCTAGAATAGCGAAAGGATTAAGAAAAATACTTTGCAATTGAACAAATATATCGAAGCTTTTTTTCTTTGCGTACATATTTATCGCAAGAAGGTTCTGGGTAATTCAAATTGTCGTCACAATGCACTCAAGCAGTTTTTCCCTTTCATTTAATCATCATTGTTATCATGTCGCCACTCGATACAAATCAGGCAAATAATCGTTTGGTAGAAACTAGGTATATCATTATTGTCTTCGAAATATTTTCTTAATCGCCATATATATTTGATTATTCATTATATTGCGGATATTATAAAAATTGTAACAACATTGGTAAATTTCTGAGTAACTCAATAACATTCAAATAATTATAAAATTGGTGCACACATTTAAATGTTTTTATGAACAAATCTTATTGTTTGTTCAAGAAATTATTATTCATTTACAAAAGAGTTTATTTAATTATATTAATAAATATCTTTTTTTTTTAACTTGTAATAATAGCATCTTATATAGAAAAATAAAATTAATAATAAAATGTACGTATAATTTAAATATATTATATTTATTTTTATCAAAAATTGACTATATAACTAGTTATTAATTTATAAATTAAAAGACAAGATTATTGACACAGATTAAATTTTTATAACTCTGCAAAAGATTTCGAATTTATTACTATTGACCTTAAATATAAATGTATTATAACTAATATACAAAAATTAAATTTTTATAAATTAATCGCCATGTAATTGATAGTCAGATCGCATCGGATATCATATGGTTTCCAGTTTCATGAAACATATTGGATTTATTATACAGTTCGAATTCAAATGAAAATCAGCATAGAATAATCAATCCATTCGATGTGCTCGTCATAAAGCGTGCTGCAACAATGTTGATTAACAATAACTTTTGTTTATAAATTTATCTTTTTATATTCTACATGAGAATTAATAATAATTAAAATAAAAAAATAAACAACCAAGATTTAAAAAATTAATCAAGATAATATAATGCAACACACACATAAAATAATAATTATTTAGGTAAATATTTATCTTTACATAGACAGGATTATATATACATGTGTGTGTGTGTATATATATATATATATATATATATATATATATATATATATGTCTTTTGTCTGACAAATGTTGTCAAAGTCCCTGACAGTGAGCAACTGACAAATTGTAAGTAACTTTCAAAAGTTTTAATTGTCACTTATTGTTTCTTAAAAAGTTATGAGCAAATAAAAGTTCGGGTATTCGAATGTTTCTCATAACATAGATTTACTTGAAAGACTTTAACTGAAAACTGAACATTAAGTATTATTATTAAAGGCAAAAAGTAAATATATGGACCGGGAAGAGGCGTCACCTCTTGATTTGTACCTTCATTAACTTAACACAAATTTAATTAAAGTGGATTTAATCTCTAAAAACCTCGCATATATTTATGTCTTACCCTTAATACATAATCTTCAATATATATAAACCTTATTTCACATCAAACAATGTGGAATGGAGACCTTGCTTCGCACTGAAAGTTGCAAACTTATGTGGACCTTCGTCCTTGTTTATATGTATATTCACTTTTTATTTCAACTTTTGATATTTTGAAACACCCTATAAAGAATTGTGCATTTGTTTAAATATGTATGTATAATATGGATAGCAATACTCATAAATTGTGTTCGAGATATTGAATTTTTTATTATTAGTCTACGTTTAAATCTCGTTCTGCATGAATTTGATAAACAATAAGTCACAGCTAAAATCTTTTAAAGATTACTTAAGATTATGGACTTTGACAACATATTTCTATCAACTAAAAATATTTTGAACATCGCTGTGTGTGTAAAAGTAAACATTTATCTTATATTATTCTAATTTTTCATTTTATTATTGTGTTATATGCAAGAATATAAATTTCGAAAATTAGATTTATTGCAAATACAAATAATTTTAATCCTGAAATAGGAAAAATCTGTAAAACGCGAAAATCTTCAAAGGATTTAAATGAAAACTCAGCTATTACTATAATTTTTAGATAAGTAAAAACATTGAAAATATTTTTGATCTTAATTTTGGACAATAAAAAAAGCTATATGGTTTATATATTTGGAGGTTTAAGTTTTAATATAATTGTATAAAAAACTCAATTATATTAAAAATACAAATAATATTCTTCTTTTTTTTTTATTTATAACTTTTTTTCTTATATTATATAATATTTATCATTATTTAAAAGGTTGCCATATACAATATGTCATATTTATTATCATATTTATTTAAAAAATGTTTTTGTCATATTACAATTTGGAAATTATTGAACGACGGATTCAGCGCAGCTCTAAATTTAAAGCAGAAAATTATGCTTTCTGATTTTTATTAATGCTGACAATAAGCATCTGATATTTATGAATCAATAGAAAAATATCAATAAATTACTTATACAATCTGTTTTATATTTTTACACGAAACAAATATAAAAACTTAAATATTTAAAATAAATGGATAAAAAGAAACTACTTAAATTCTGTTAAATTATTATAAAATAATAAAATAAGAGAGTAGAACAGTTTGCAAGTTTGTGCAGCACAATCGCTTTAGAATTCCTTAAAAATAAAAATTGAATTGTCATTTTAAGAGATGAATGCGAATATGGATTATAATAAGCATTCACATAGGCATACACACACACATATCGCTCTTATTTGCTCGACTAGCATAAGTAAATACGGGCTTGTTCTACATTCGTAATAGATATTCGACAGATAATATGCCGCATTATGTACGACATATGCAGTTATACAGATACACATATATATTGTATGTACATATATATGATATTACCATCTAACAATAAGATGATATTTTTAGAATATGCCTTGATTCCCGTCTTCCGCTCCCTTTTCCTTTTTAGATTGACAAGTAGCTGAGTATCTTGCATTTTGTAGATTCAATGCTACACATGTAATATGTATCTGTACAACATGTGTGTTTTACCTCTTAATATATAATCAATGTTAAAGTATATATACATATATATACATACATACATACATATATATATGTATATTTTTTTTATACCTTTAATTGAATTGCAAGAACATGCTCACACATTTCCAAGGTTTCGATACTTCGGATAATTCATTTTGACGTGATTTCTGAATAATAGATTCACAGATCTGTTGTCGCGACATTTATGAAAAAAATGTAAAATTTTTCTTTTATCGAGAAAAAAACTGATTTCCGTTTTTGATTTGTCGAAGATTGAAAACGCGACACAAACGAAATCAATTCAACTATTCATCACAGAATATTTTTAAAATGTCTTTATCTTGTTACGATTGAGAACAAGAAGAGTACGGCTGGTATTCATAGTCCGTTCTTATATTTAAGATCATCTTAAGTACGGTTTTAAGTTGCTACGCGGCCATTTCATTGGTTGAATGGGATCGTAAGACGATCTTAAATATAAGAACGGACTATGAATACCGGCTTATGTATAACATATACTATAATTTTTGTTAAACTTTAATCATGGAATTTATGCATACAATATCTCGATTGCGAACTTTGATATTTTATTAAATTCAGTTCTTTTTTTATACAATACTATATTTATCTTTTAATCTCCTAACAAAGAGGATACTAGCAGAATTTTTTTGAAGATTTATATAATCCAATTATTAACGCATGCGTTATATTAAAAAAATTATATTTGTCATAACAATTCGACGAAGCGTCTTTATCGATCTATGATATAACTCGCGTTTTATATAACTTTTTTATACTTCAAATCTTTCCATCACGTTTTTATCGGATATTTTCCCGATACTTGATTCTATATCTCATGATGGAAAATTGTTCTCGAGTGAAATGATATCGTTTTTATTTACATAACAGCTGTTCTTTTTCGCACGCCTCGTTGTATATTCTGTCCGAATCCTTTGTTCAAGCAAAACTGAGAAACAATTAACTCTTTGTCCTCACATTTTAAGCTTTCTTACCCTGCTCTTCTCCTTTCTCTTTCTCGCCAAAGCACGAGAACTTTGATTTTAATTAAATTTATTTCATCGCCTTGAGTCGACTCTCAAACTCG